AGGGACCTGATAAATCATCCTTGGCTAAGGTATGGGGATTACTAAACTATGTGTCCATTGGAAAGGGAGGAAAATCTTCTTGCACTGTTCCAATGACCCCAAAGACCCCCTTCGTGGGTCCTGCAGGGATTACCTGCTAAGTGTGCTCTATTATGTCACCTATTCGGTGAAAAATTTATCATTGGGGGGAACTATATAGGAGAGGATTTTTGAAAAGTTCATCGTACAATTTTTTTTTTTTTTGCCAAGTGGTCCAGAATTCTCTATTTAATCAGTTACCATTTATGGAAAGAAAGGCACAGATCCCAGCGCTTGTGCTTTCTGCCGTGTTTTCATCAATGAGCAGAAAAAAGCACACCCCCAAAGTGAGAAAAATTAAATATCCTCAGAGAGAAGGCAGGCTCCTTTTTCCATTAAAAAGGGGACCCTGGGGCTGGAGTGAGAGCACAGCAGGGAGGGCGTTTGCCTTGCATGCGGCCAACCCGGGTTCGATTCCCAGCATCTCCTATGGTCCCCTGAGCACCGCCAGGAGGAACTCCTGAATGCAGAGCCAGGAGGAACCCCTGTGCATCGCCGGGTGTGACCCAAAAAGCAAAACAGAAAAAAAGGGGGGACTCAGAAAAGGGCCAGAGCAATAGAACAGAGGTCTGGGTCAGGGCACTTGCCTTGAGTGATGCTGTCCCCAGTTCCCAATATGATTTTCCGAAATCCCCCACTAGGTGAGACTCATCACCGAACACAATATTGTTGAGGGGACAATTTTTTTTCCCTGAGAGCTGTTTTATTTTATTTATTTCTTGGGGGGGGGTCACACCCGGCCATCAAACGGGGGATCGAACACCCGGGTCAGCTGTGCCCTCCCTGCTTGTCCGTCATGCAGTCCTTTTCCCTGCTGAAAAGGCTTCCAAAGGGTAGGAGAGAGCTCATCCACACCAGCCCTCGATGAAAAGGCGTCACAGGCAAAGCAAGGACACGATTAGAATTTTCAAACTGATTCACTCACTGGGGGCTGGGGAAGAAACTCACCTAACTTCCCCTCTTGTTTTCGAGTCTTTTAGGGGGGCAAGGCGGCTGGATTTGAACCGTGCTCAGTGCTTTGGTGCCTACTCCCAGCTGTGTTGGGGGTCATTCCAGGTGTTGCTCAGAGTACCATGGTTCTTTCTGCTCAGGGGAGGTCCTTGGGCTTTTTCTGGCGGGGGAGGGGAGGGCTATAACCAGCAGTGCTCAGGGCTCACTTCAGGACTCACTTCGTGCAGGGCTTGGGGCACCAGATGGGGTGCCGGATATTGGACCCTCCTTGGCAACATGCAAGACAAGCACCCCTTAACTCTCTGTACTCTCCAAGCTGATTTTGAACATGGGATCATGGGATGCGATGGGGTGGGCGTCCTTATCTAGACTTTTCTAGCATCCCTCACGTGCTGTAGAAACCCCAATTTTTTTTGTCTTTTTGGGTCACACCCAGTGATGCTCAAGGGCCACTCTTGGCTCTGCACTCAGGAATGACTCCTGACAATGCTCCAGCCGCCAGGGGCACCAATTCTTTTTTTTTTTGGGGGGGGGGCGGAAGGTCACACTGGGTGATGCTCAGGGGTTACTCCTGGCTCATGCACTCAGGAATTAGTCTTGGTTGTGGTTGGGGGACCATACGGGATGCTGGAAATCGAACCCAGGTCGACCGCATGCAAGGCAGACGCCCTCCCCGCTGTCCTATTGCTCCAGCCCTGGCACCAATTCTTTTCTTTTTGGGTCACACCCAGAGATGCTCAGGGGTTACTCCTGGCTCTGCACTCAGGAATCACTCCTGGCGGTGCTTGGGGGACCATATGGGATGCCGAGGATCAAAACTGGGTCGGCCACGTGCAAGACAAGTGCTACCCTTTATAAACTATTGCTCCGGCCCCGAGGGGCGCCAATTCTTAAGCACATACAGATTTTTATCTGTACCAGGGGCTGCGGCTCCCTACATCTCCCTGCTAAACTGGGCTTAACTGTGATTCCAGAATCTACCCCTTTTCAAGTCCAGGGCAATAGTACAGCGGGGAGGGCATTTGCCTAGCACACAGCTGACCTGGGTTCGATTCCTGTCGTCCCATAGGGTCCCCTGAGCAACGCCAGGAGTAATTCCTAAGTGCTGAGCCAGGAGGAACACTTGGGCATCACCGGGCGTGACCCAAAGAGAAAAAAAAAAAAATCTCCCCTCTTCCCCCAGTATTCCCCAAGCTGTCTCATCCTTGGCACTGATGCCAGCTGGAAGCATTGAGTCCAATATTGCAGCCTCTCTCCTCCCTGTGCTGTGGGAAACCTACCCTACCTCCAGCAGACAGTTTTCTGGATGATCCTAGCTGGGGTACATCCGCCCCCTCAAGGCAACGCTGATCTCCCAAAGGACGGTCTCTGCATTGAGAACAGGCCGACTGCGGGCCAAGGGAACTGGGGGCACCAGTGGTGGGGCTCAAGCAGAAACCTAGGAGGCCTCCCGCTCAAGTATGGGGGAACGGGGCGAAATTACAGGCAGGGGAGGCACTTGTATTGCATGCTCCCACCGCAGGCTCAATCCCTAGCATCCCAAAGGGTGCCCTGAACCCCATGAGTGATTCCTGAGTGCGGTCAGGAGAAAGCCCTGAGCAGAGCACAGTCAGGTGTGACCCAAAACACCAAATACATCACCAAATGCATCTCTCATGAATGCCTTTGTAAGTCATTTCTTTGAGGGTGGGGTGCGGTGCTCAGGACTTTCTCCTAGCTCTGCCCTCAGCAACGACTTCTGGCAGCACTGGGGGGTCCTATGGGACAACCAGATATAGAACCCCAATCGGCTGCATGCAAGGCGAGTGCCCACCCTACCCGATGTACTCTCTGGCCCCAAATAAATCAAGGTCACTCAATTTTAAAAAGAAAAGGCAAAGCTGATCTTTTTTTCGCTTTTCGGGTCACACCCGTTGATGCACGAGGATCACTCCTGGCTCATATGCTCAGGGGACCATACAGGATGCCGGGGATCGAACCCAGGTCAGCTAGGTGCAAGGCAAACTCCCTGTGCCACTGCTCCAGTCCCGCAAAGATGCTCTTTAAGCCTGGAGGACCACATGTAGCCCCAGCGCCCCAGGCCCAAGAGCTAAAGTCAGCAGAGCCTGGGACCCAGGCTTCTCACCCACCCACAGAACAATGCTCTCAGTCCAGCTGTGCTCAGGGGTTACCCCCAGCTCTGCACTCAGGAATCACTCCTGCCACCTGGAATGCCAGCTTTCATTTCAGTTTTTTTTTTTTGCTTTCTGGGTCACACCTGGTGATGCAGATGGTTACTCCTGGCTCTGTACTCAGGTATTACTCCTGGCATTGCTCAGGGGACCATATGGGACGCTGGGAATCGAACCCGGGTCAGCCACGTGCAAGGCAAACACCCTACCCGCTCCAGCCCCCTGGAATGCCAGATTTGATCTCCAGACAGGCAGCACGCAGGGTGAACGAACGCCCTCCCCACTGTCCTATGGCTCCGGACCCCACCCAAGATACTTGAAAGTCAACTGGGACCAGTGATCTTGTAGGTTCTCTAAAAAGAGGACAAGACACAACAGAAGAAATCTGCAAAAGTCATTTATTCAGAGAAATCTAAAATCTGGACAAAGAATATTGAACTTTTTACAAAAAGCCTACAGGGGATTTTGTTTCTTCCTAACAGATTATCCACCCAAAAAAAAAAAGAAAGAAAAAGAAAAACACCCTCAAACTTTTAGGAAACCATTATTTTTCCAGTTTGTCTGCAGTGGCAATGATTTAAAATATTCCTGTTCTGTTGAGGTATGAGCTGCAAACTTTGGTAAAGTTAGGAAAAAAAAAAAATCCATCCCCCAAATACAAAATAGCCAAAAATTTAAAAAAAAAAAAAAAACACAACAAAAAAACCAACCTAAGTTATATACCTTTCTCAGTAACATATACAGTAACTACAAAAAAAAAAAATTCATTTAGCCAAAGTGTTCATTTATTTAAAAAATATATATATATATCCCCTCTTTGTAATTCTCAACTGGCGGGTTGAAAATTCAATTCTGATATGGACCGACAGAACCCAGACCGGCTCGAGACAAGCTCCTGGGCGCGGGGAAGCGGGTCGACCAGTTGTCCGGAGTGGCTGGCCGTGCCGACCAACAGTGCAGTGCTAAGAGAAGCCCTTGTGCTTTCCGAGACGGACCGAGCGGCAGGCACTTGAACGTGGCTTCCAGAGTTGGGGGCGGGGCGGGGGCACTGTGGGGTGGCCTGTGTGGAGACGCTTCCGAAAGAGGTAGTTCTGGGGCGGGGGGGGCCTCCCGCTCCGCCAGCCCGGGGAAAGGCTCGTGAGCCAGGAGGCAGTGTGGAGTGTAGACCCTCTCGTCTACACCGGGCCGGACTGGAATTTTCCTCTTCTTCCCACAACTTCTGGCCAAGGGGACCCCCCCTCCCAACCACCTGGCCCGTCCAGTCTGATCAGAGACAGTCAGAGGTGGTGACGCCCAGGGCAGATGCCCTCCGCTCACACTGTGGGAAGGGGCAGCTCTCGACTGGTCAGGCCCCCCCTGGGGAGGGGAAGGCAGAGGTTTTGAACTTGCACTCAAAGGCACAGACCCTCCGGCTGCATCCACATCGAGTTTTTCCCTCCTAATTCTGACCTCAGAAATCACAAGCCTGCAGGGGTATTTTGTTTCTATCTGCTGAAAGGGAGGCGGTGTCCCGGAATGGGGCAGGTTAGGGGCTTTGGAGGTTCAACTTTTCTTTCTTTCCGTTTCAATCCCTAAAAATTTACAGATGCAGCAGGGAGGGAAGAAGGAAATAAGACTGGGGGGGGGGGGGCGGGGGGGCACCAGGAAGCCAACAAAAAACCCAGCCAGACAAACAAGGCAGCTTTTCAAGGGGGCAGTGGGGGAAACACGTTTTTTTCTTAAGTTAAGCCACTAGAATCGATGTCTCAGGCGCCTCCCCTGTGCCAAGTGCCAGGAGGAGGAAAGGGAGGAGGAGGAGGATCACCGGCCACTGCCGTAGCCCGGGAAGAGAAGATTGAGCACCGCCTGCAGCTCCTGGTTCACCTGCCTGGAGTAGCTGCGGCCCAGGTCACAGCGGCAGGCCGGGCAGCTGAACACCTGCGCCCGAAAGGAGCGGTCCAAACAGTCCTGCAAGGGAGACAGGCGGCTGCTGGGCGCATGGCCGTGGCCTCTCCGTCCCTCTGGAGCTGACCACATGCGCTCTCAAAACACCCACCTCCCCCTCACTTTTTTTTCTCTCCTCTCTTTTGGCTTTTTGGGGTCACACCCGGCGATGCTCGGGGGTTCTCTCCTAGCTCTGCACTCAGGAATGACTCCTGCTCGGGGGACCCTGTGGGATGCTGGGAATCGAACCCAGGTCGGCCGCGTGCAAGGCGAACGCCCTCCCCGCTGTGCTATCGCTCCAGCCCCTCTCCTCACGTCTAAGTTTCCACTGGGGCAGGATCTGGATCCAGCTAACTTAATTAAGCAAAAAGAGTAAAGGGACCGGGGGGGGGGGGGGGGGACGGGGGACGGGGTGTCACTGGCCAGAGCGATAGTTGCAAGTCTTACATGCAGCTGACCCAGGTTCGATCCCCGGCCTCCGCTAGGGTTCCCGAGCCCTGCCAGGAGTGATCCCTGAGCAGAGGCAGGAAGAACCCGCAAGCATCGCCGGGTATGGCCCCAGAAGAAATCAAATGAGAGGGCAGGTGGGTGAGAGGGGTCCATAAGGGACACGGTCCTGGCCTCCACCCCAACACAGGGCCCCCCTGCCCCCTCGCCGGCTGGCCAGATCTCACAGCTGACACCAGAGACCTCCCCGGCGCCCCCTGAAACACAGGGGCCCCCCAACCCGCCGGTCCTGTGGTGGAACAGCCCAGGGTCATCTGATGCCCTCAGGACCACCCCAAACAAGAGATGAACCCCCAGGCTGTGTCATCCAGGCGAGTCTGAGTCCACAGTGGTCAGAGCCCCTCAGACACTCAGGGAATGAGCCAGCCAAAGGCGGAAGGAGGGGACGAGGGAGTCCTGATCCATGGGGCATGGGGCTTGGAGGGACCCACACTTGGGCTCTGCAGCCTCCACCCCCGCCCAGAGCTGGCCCTGACTCAGCCCCCAGGAAAAAGGCCCCAGGGACTGCCAGGATGTGAGGGTCTCGCTGGCCCTGGGGTGGGGACCACCCAGTCTACTGGGGCATATCAGCAGGGCCCGGCCTTCCTGGGAACCTTCTTCAGTCACCAGGAGGACTGTGACAACCGTGTGTGTGTGTGTGTGGGGGGGGGGGTGTGAAGAGGGGAAACGAGACAACAGAAGGTTCTGGCATGTTCTGGAAAAGGGAGCCTCACCTTGCAGACGTTGTGCTGGCACACGGTGGTGATGGGTCGGAACACCAGTTCCTGGCAGCAGATGCACTGGAAAGTCTCCTCCACCTTGCTCAGGAACAGCTGGAACTGGGGGGCAGCAGGAGGGGGCGTGAGCTCAGGCCAGTGCCCCCAGGCAGCTCTCCTGGAACTCTGGCCTCCCACAATCTCATGCTTCACCCGCTGTCAGACGACCCAGCCAGAGTCCATGGAGTCAGTGGGGGGGATGGCCACACGCACGGAGCCCACCAGAGGCCCAGGGACGCCGCTCCCACACTTGGGGGACGCAGAGGGACACAATGGAACAGGCAGCTCAGGCCGCCGGGATGGGAGGCGCGGGCCAGAGGCTGGGGGAGGGGGCGGGGTGGGAGCACTGTGAGGAGGGCACCGGCCCTGGCCACGGGCAACCAGGATCTGATCCCGGGCACCCCCGAGGGTCGCTGAGCAGTGCCAGGAGTGATCCCTGAGCCCAGCCAGGAGTCAGCCCCAAGCGCTGGAAAGACAGAGGAACAAACGAGGGGCCAGCCACGGACGGACGGACGGACGGACGGACAAACGGAGGCACGCCCGCCACGCTCACCGTGCCGCCCTGCAGCGAGCCCTGGATGTCAGCCCACAGCTTGGCATTGCTCTGGTCCTTGGCGATGAGGAGGCTCTGCTCTGCGGTCAGGCTGAAGGGCTCCACGCGGCTCTTCTTCGGGGTGGCCCGCGACGGGGACACGGGGCTGGACTGGCCCTCTAGGGGTGGGGCGGGACGAGGCGGGTGAGGCTGGGGCCCCGCCCCAGGCTGCTGCCCCCGGTTCCCCCCGCCCCCCGCCCCGGGTGAGCCACCCACCTCCTGTCTTGCTCTTCCGTTTGCCTTTCTTGGGGGTCACAGAGTCATCCACCTCCATGGACTCCTCGGCGGCCTCCTCCTCGGCCTCCTCGTCCGCCGGCTTCAGGCGGTTTTCCTTCTCCTTCTGCTTCCGGGACAGGGCTTCGAGGTAACCTGCAGGGTACTGGACGGGGAAGCAGAGGTGAGGGGGGCCGGGTGGCTGCGAGGGACCCTCAGAGGCCAAAACAGCCACTCGCCCCCGCAAACACACACGTTTTTTTCAAATGTGGGGGCCACACCCAGCATCGGCGCCCCGGGGCTCACTCCTGGCGGGGCGCAGGGATCCAGACGGGGTGCTGGACCCGTGCCCAACCCCACTGAGAGCTGCAGCCCCAGCGCCAGCAAACACACCTCACGGCCTCCCAGGTTTGGGTCCGAGGCTGGTACGCCACCCCCCCCACACTTCCAGGTTTGCAGGTCACCAAGCGCGGAACTGTCCCCTCCAGCCCCCTGCCACAGCCAATCAGAAGTGCCCCTCACAGCCACCTCCGAGACCCCCAGGGAGCCAGGGGGCGCCATCCCATCATCCCAGGGGAGATGCCTTCCCAGTCCCAGCTCCCCGGCGCCCGGGTCTACTGCTCCCTGATTTCCCAAAGACAGACCGGCTTCTGGCTTCTCACCCACCCCCAGGGGTCAGGCGCTTAGCAATTAAGATGCATTCAATAGTCCCAGCCCAACCTGTCAGCCTCCCCACCAGAAACAGAAGACACCCTAATTACAGAGCCAGGGAGGCCACAGCCCCAGTGGGGAGAGCCCTCTTAGCTGGCACCGGGCACTGGCTCCACAGCTCCGGCCTTTGATCCTGATTATTTGGGGGGCGGGGAGCAGGAACCAGAGGCCAAATTCATTTCTAAGCCAAGGGTCTGACTTACTACAGTTCTCAGTTCTCAAGCAAAGGTCCTGGGGCAAGCACGAGGACAGTGGGGCAGGCCTGGTCTTGCACATGGTGGACCCGGGTTCGAACCCCCACACCATCCAGCATCTCCCAAGCCCCACCAGGAGTGATCCCCGCCAGAACGGTCAGGACCAAGTCCTGAGCGCTGCCAAATGTGGCCGAAAATACCCCACTGCACACAACTCAAAACAAAAAAGCCACAGAGAATAAAAAACGCTGAAGTTTTCGCCGATAATCTTTGTTTTGGGCATTTTGGCCCATACCCAGCTGCGCTCAAGGGGACTACGGGGTGCTGGGAGATAGAATCCGGCAGGCTCGCCCCAGTCCGGCTGGAAAGTCCATGACGAACACCCAGGCTCTGCGTGGCCAGGACACCGTACCGGCCAGTGGGGCCCAGGAGCCAGGGCCAGGCCCCTTGGAGGCTGGACATTACTTTCATCAAAAGAAAAATCTGGGGGGGGGAGGGAGAGTTTGCCTTGCACACGACCGACCCGGGTTCGATTCCCAGCATCCCATAGGGTCCCCCGAGCACCGCCAGGAGTCATTCCTGAGTGCAGAGCCCGGAGGAACCCCTGAGCATCACCGGGTGTGACCCCAAAAGCAAAAAAAAAAAAAAAAAAAAAGCAAAAATAAAAGAAAGGAAGAAAGAAAAATCCCCAAGAGGAGTTGAGTGGCAACAGCCCCGCGGGGAGGGCATCGCCTTGTACACGGCAGCCCCAGGTCCGGTCCCGGGCCTTCCACAGCCCCCTCCCCCAGCGCTCCGCCCGCACACCTGCATGGTCAGCCCCAGCTTCTTCATCCGGTCCTTCCCCTCCTTGGTCCAGGGCCCGGGCTCCTCGTCGTCCCTCCGCAGGAGGTAGCGCCACACCAGGAAGCCGGACTTCCCCTTCTCGGGCCAGTACCTCACCACCTGTGGCCGGCACGGGGTCGGTCGGGAGTCAGGGCTGGCGGCCCTGGGGGGGGGGGCGGGGTTGGGAAGGGGGTGGGGGGCAGGGGCAGAGGCCCACCTTGTAGATGCCGTCGTAGCGGTTGCCCTCGGCCGGGGCGTACTTGCTGTGCTTGCCCCCCTTCACATTGCGGACCACCCGCACTGGCTTGCCCGACCGCCAGTCCTTGGCCTGGGCACCCTTGCGGTCATTGATGGGCGCGGAGCAGTTCAAGGCCAGCGCCCTGGAGGGGGACGAGACGGTGGTAGAGCACCAGGGACAGAGAACCCGGAACAGCCTCCCCCGCCCCAACACCAACGTCTGGAGGGCGGGCGGGCGGGCAGCGAGGACTCTCCCTCCAGATCCCCCAGCAGCAGTGGGGGGGGCAGTCAACCCCAGCTCTATGCAGAGCGTGGGGGGAGGCAAGGAGGGTGGTCGAAGGCGCCTGCCTTGCACTTGGCCGACCCTAGTTTGATCCCCGGCACCCCCGGAGTGAGTCGCCCCCAAGCCACCCTGTAACCTTCCGCGTCCCCCCCACCCCAAAGACTGGGTGGATCTCTGCAAAGATCCAAAGGAAATACCGGAGATCAGAAGCCATCTAGGGGTTCCTCTGCGCCCCCCCTTCCCCCGAGACACAGGATGCAAGTTGATCCCCACGTGGGGAAGAGCTGGCCCAGGAAAAAACAGACGCCCTCGCCGGGAAGGGCCCCTCAGAGTGAAGGGTCGCCCCGAGATCTTTCACTGGGATCAAAACCCAGCAGCCCTCAGACCCTGAGACTTTTTTAAAAAGTTTCTTAGGGGGCTGGAGCGATAGCACAGCAGGTAGGGCATTTGCCTTGCACGTGGCCGACCCGGGTTCGATTCCCAGCATCCCATAGGGTCCCCTGAGCACTGCCAGGGGTAATTCCTGAGCACAGAGCCAGGAGTGACCCCTGGGCATTGCTGGGTGTGACCCAAAAAGCAAAAAATTTCTTGGTTTGGGGCCACACCCAGCGATGCTCAGGGGTTTTCTCCTGGCTCTGCACTCAGAAATATCACTCCTGGCAATACAGGAGGGGACTTATGGGAGGCTGGGGGTCGAACCCAGGTTGGCGGCTTGCCTGGCACAGTCCTCCTGCTGCACCATGGCGGTTCATCTTTAATGGGAATCCCAAGCCTCCGGAAATGACCCCAACTGGATGCCCGCCCCTCCCCCCCAGGGCTGAGCTCAGGGATGCACGCACCTGTTGGTGTTGGTGAGTTTTTGGTCACAGGACTGCTCAGCTGTCCGCTTGTTCCCGGAGAGGTCCCGGCCACCGCTGCCCGTGTACGTGAAGAAGTTCCCGTGGTCCTGAAACAAAGAGTGAGGTCGGGGTGAGTCCCGGGCAGAAGCCCCAGCAAAGCGGAAACGAGGATCAACCCATCCCCAATGGAGACTGTGGACCTCCAACACCCCAAAAGTGTCAACCAGGACTGCCAACCCCCAAGCGCCCAAGAAACGGCAGGAGACCCGTGTGGCAAGAGACGAAGCAAGGAGCCTGCACGGGCGGTGGGCAGGCGGAGGCTCGCAGGCCCCCATGGGCAGACACCCCAGAGAACCGAGACTGGACTGGCAACAGGCACTGCAGGGCAGTGAGTGACTGAAGGGCCAGAAGGGACGAGAGCCCCACATCCAGCAACGCTGGGTGGAGACGTAGGACGGAGCAGTGTCTACACGGCGGTCCACCACCGCGGGATGTGAGTCAGATCCCACAGGGAATGTCCTGGGGGACCAACCCCCCACCTACAGCTCCCCCCGGAGGTCCACGCAAACAGTTACGAGGAAGTCCATGGGGGTGCCGGGGCTGGGGTGCGGGGAAGGCAGGAAAAAGTATTTACTGAGCACGAGTCCCAGCAGGAGAGAAATTGGCGGCCTTCCACATCGTGTTCCACGACGTGTCGCCGTCCCCCAAAGCCATGGGGCCAGGCCCCCCCCACTCACCACATCGTCCTCATAACCCCCAGCCAGGACCAAGGAGTAGGCCCCATCGTTGCTCCGGCCGTGGATGCCCGCCACGTGCGGCCGGTGGACCCCCGACTCGCTGACCTAGGACCAGAAATACACCGGGGGGCAGCTCCAGCCTGGCCGTCCGACGTGGGAGAAGGCTCCCGCCCCATGTCCCGGGGACGCCCGCGGTTACCTGCACTCGGAACCTCCACATGGTGCCCACGGGGATCCCCGGGATGGGTCCGTAGTGGTTGGAAGGGACGATGGTGCATTCCCGAGTACGCCCCACACAGGCCATGCCCTGTGGGCCGAGCAGGGAGAAGTTGGAGCAGCAGGGGTGGGGTGGGGGTGGGGGGGAGGCACTGGGCGTGCCAAGGGGGGGGGTCGAGACAGCGGGTGGGCCTGGCAAAGGAGCAAGCCGGGCTGGTGGCCAAGGGATGGGCGGGAGAGGTGGGCAGGCCAGGCCAGGCCAGGATGAAGTGGGCGGGGCCAGCAGGTTGTGATGGGCGGGGCCCGGGCAGGGCGAGTGGTGAGTGGGGACTCCAGGGCGGGCCCAGCAGGGTCTCACCTTGCCCCAGTCCCGCCTGGACGAGGAAGTGGCCGAGGCCATTTTCGCCTTCTTCTTACTCTCTTTCAGCTTTTCTCCGGCCAGCACCACCTCACTGGGCTCATTGCGGCACTCGGGACAGTACCTGTGAGGCCACCACCGCTGGCGTGATCCCACTGACCCGAGCTCGGCCCACCCACCCCCCTTCTCCCCTCAACAGCACAGGGCCAGGAGGGCGGGTCCAGCCGGACACGCCAAGGTCCCGGTGAGGAGGGCCAGGGAGGGGACAGGGTTCGAGTCCGCTGGGACCCCAGGCCCAGCTCTGCTTCGCATCTGTAGGGTCTGCCTCCTGAAACCCTCCCACTCCACACCGAGGACACGATCATTTCTGGGGGGGGTCTATCAGGCGACACGCAGGAGTATTTATTTGGGAGCCAGGCGCAGGCAGGGAGGACCGAACCCGGGCCTGGCAGATGCAAGGCAAGGACCTCACCTCCTGGACGCCGATCGCTCTGGCCCCTGGGGCTCATTTTGTATTGGTATTTGGTGTTCTGGACCACCCCGGGCGCTACAGAGCTCGATCCCTGGCTCTGCCCTCCGGGATCACTCCTGCTGCGGCTCGGGGGACCCTCTGGGATGCCGGGGCGGGACCCGAGCCATCCGCGACCAAGGCAAGAACCCTCCCCACCGTGCAATCGCTCCGTCCTGAGATGAATCAATCTTATTTCCTTGCTGGCTTGTTTGTTCTGGGGGGGGTGGGGGGCTGACAAGTCATAGCCAGCTGCGCTCAGAACTCAACTCTCGGCCCGCGCTTCGAAATCGGTGTCAAATTGGGCGTCGCGGACCAGGGTTGCAAGCAAGCTCGCGGGCCGGAGCACGTGCTGAGCACAAGCCTGGCAGTAGACCCCGGGGGTCGAACGCTTCGCCCCCCGCACAGAGCCGGGAGGCGTGAGGCACGGGGAGCTGCAGGGACCTGGGGGATCGATCGCCGGAGATGTGGGAAGGGGAGGTCAGGTGCGCGAGCTGCCCTCCACCCCGCCCCGCTCACCACTCGTCCTCCTCGGGGATGCTGCTGAGGGGAGGGCTGAGGCAGTAGAGGTGGAAGGCCATGTCGCACTCGTCGCACATGAGCTGCTTGTCGGGGTCCTGCTTGCCCCCGCACAGGTGGCAGGCGCACACGCGGCACGGCTTGCTCTCGTCGTCCTTGCACTGCTTGCAGGAAGGCCCGCTCTTGCCTGGACGGGGGCGGGGCCGGCAGGACGGGGCGGGGTTAGCGGGGCGGGGGCGGGGCCGGCGGGGAGAGGGCCAATAGGAACGAGCAGGCCCAACTGGGGGAGGCGGGGCCAGCAGAAATGGGTGGGGCCAGCAGAAATGGGCGGGGCCATCGGGGAGGAGGAAAGCCAATGGCAATGGGTGGGCGGGACCATCAGGGAGGAGGAACACCAATGGAAATGGGTGGGCGGGACCAGCAGAAATGGGCGGGACCATCAGGGTGGAGGAAAGCCAATGGAAATGGGCGGGCGGGACCAGCAGAAATGGGCGGGACCATCGGGGAGAAGGAAAGCCAATGGCAATGGGTGGGCGGGACCATCGCGGAGGAGGAAAGCCAATGGCAATGGGTGGGCGGGACCAGCAGAAATGGGCGGGACCATCAGGGTGAAGGAAAGCCAATGGCAATGGGCGGGCGGGACCATCAGGGAGGTGGAAAGCCAATGGAAATGGGCGAGTGGGACCATCAGGGAGGAGGAAAGCCAATGGAAATGGGTGGGTGGGACCAGCAGAAATGGGCGGGACCATCAGGGTGGAGGAAAGCCAATGGAAATAGGTGGGCGGGACCATCAGGGTGGAGGAAAGCCAATGGGACCCCAGAAGTGGGACAGGCCCCTCCCAGACCTGCACCTAGCAGAAAGGGTCCCACCGGGTACCCTCCTCCAGATCCAGATCAAGGGACCCAACTCACGTCTGATGAGGTTCTCGACCACTGGGCTCCCCTCACCCGGGCGCTCGATCTTAAAAACCTCATCCACGAAAATGATGCGACAGTCGTTGAGAGAGTCGCCCCTGGGGGTGGGGGTAGGGGGTGGGGGCGTGAGCTCGGTCCACTGTGGCGATTCTCCCAGGGTACCGGCACCCCCGCCCCGGATTCAAGTGCAGCCAGATCAGAGGCTCCACGAGGGGGCCCCCCTCATGCACCCACAAGCAATAGGTAACCCCCCGCCCCACCGCCAACCCTCAGGCCAGCTCACAGTCCACTGCCTCAGACACCAGCACGAGGCCACCAGGTCACGGTCCCCCACCCGGCCCTCACACACACACCGCAGTGACGTCCCTCACGATGCCACACATCATCGTGCCCATGCTCCCTCGGGGCTCCGAGTCCCCGCCACTCACCCAATCATGACATTGGCGAAGAGCTCTCGCTGGGTCCGTGTCTCCCGCTTGCGCACGATCTGGGCGTCGTACCAGAAGCCCCGCTCCTTGGGGTTGTCCGGGTTGTAGTTGAGCATGACCGTCTGGCCCACCTCCAGCTCCTGCCACTGCAGGATGTGCCTGGCGCGGGCCCGCACATCCCGGGCACTCATCTGCACCACACCATTCTCCGGGTAGCTGCGGGGAGAGGCCGCCTCTGAGCCCGCAGTCCGGTGTGTTCATGGCCCCCCATGGGAGAGCCAGGCTCCGTCGGGCCACCCTGGGTGGGGGTGTCCCGTCCCCTCGCTGGGGGACACTGTGGCGAGACCCTGGCCAGCAACATGTGCGTGCCAACCCTCCCCGACACACGCACACACACACACACACACACACACACACACACTGCATGCCCAACTATCCAACTATGGAGGTCACGACAATAGATGCCGCAAGGCAGTCGGGGGACAATACTTAGGTGGACGGGCCTGGAGTCTTAACAAGAGGGATGGACGAGCAGCAGGCCCCCCTCTCGCCGCCCCTATGAGGCCATGGCAGAGCGGCCCGCAGCGGCACCCAGACCAGCACCTCCATCTCAGACCTCCAGCAAGCACACAGGTCTGGGGGGACCCGCCACCTGTGTGGTCTCGAGCTCAAAGCCCCCCCCACAACTCCATATCACTGGAGCCTGCACCTGCACCCGACCCTGCAGACGCCACGCCTCCCCGCTGTCTCTGCCCACCCCGGCGGGCACTCACTCGTCATATTTCACGTGGTAGATAACCTCCTCCTCCTCGTCCGGGATAGCGGTGGAGCTGCAGGGCTCGTCGGGCGACGGTCCCCTCTTGGTCACCCGGACCACTTGCGCCTCGAACCAGGCACCCATGTTGGTGTCCCGGGCGTCCACATACTCGTTCACCTGCCAGCACAACACAGCGGCTCAGATGAGAGCTGGGGGGGGGGGGGCGGGGCGCAGGGCCAGGGACGGAGAGCGAGGCCCAACGCGGACAGAGCCTCAAAGGTGGGAACCCGGCCCACCGTCTGTGGGCGCTGGAGGTCATCAAGACCGGGCTGCCTTGGGCCGGAGGGACATACAGCGGGGGGGGGGTGGCATTTGTCTTGCAAGTGGCCCACCTGGGCTGGATCCCCAAGCACAGAACCAGGATTCGGCCCTGAGCATCACTAGGGGTGGCCCCCCCAAAAGCCTGAGGTGCCAGATACAGGGTCTTCATTCACCAGAGTGGAAGGACACGGGACCAGGGGCCCCAATTCCACCACACTGGGTGCTGAGGGGTCCCTGACACCGCCCAGTAGAGCAGCAGGGCTCCAAGCAGCACAGGGGAGAACCAAGGGACCAGGGGGACACTGAGACCCCGTGCCCTGTCCCCAGACACCAAGTCCCATGGACAGGTTCTCAGGAACAGCAGTCAGACTTGTTTGGGGGGCCACACCCGGCGATGCCCAGGGGCCACTCCTGAAGGGGCTGCGGGAAAAACACTGGGATAGAACCCGGGTCGGCCCCCTTGCCGGGCAAGTACCGGGGGCCCCCCTCAACTCCGACCTGTAGGTGCAATTTGTGACTTGCAGGTGGCGACAGAGGCCGACACGTGCCCCCGCCCTGGGGCCCCGGCAGCCCCCCCGGAGGTGGCGCTCACCTTGTACAGCCCCAGCTCGGTCTCGTCCCAGGCCTCCTCCTCGGCCAGGCCCGCCTTGGCGTCCGCCTCGCTGCTGTTGGACGCCTTGTCCGACTCGGCCTGGCCCAGGCAGCAGCCGGAGTCGGAGTCGGAGAGCTCAGCCTCCCGCTCCCGCCCGCCGCGGGGCAGCACCAGACTCTGGCGCACCAGCAGCTGCACCGTGTCGTTCAGACGCACGTCGTAGTCGAAGAGCGTGTGGCCATCCTCCATCTGCGGCCAAGGGAGCACCGTCACCGGCTCGGCTTCGGGGCCCCGGCCTGCCGCACCCCCACCTGGGCCCCGGGGAAGGGGCTTTCTGTTTGGCTCGGGCGCCAGACCCGGGGATGCTCAGGGCTCACCCCTGGCAGTGCTGGAGGGACCTGCCGGGTGCCGGGAATCGGCCCCGAGTCTGCCCCGTGCAAGGCAAACGCCCTCCCCGCTGTGCCATGGCTCAGGCCCCACTGCAAAGTCCTGATATTTGGGTTACTGGACTCTTTTCCGGTCAGCTGTCCCAGCCCGCAGGTGCAGAGGAAGGGCCGGCCTGCCCCCTAGAGGCCACGGCTGAGAATGGGGCACCTGTGGACAGGAGCCCTGGGAGTGGGGGGTGAGGGGCTTCCACCGAGTGTGGCCCAGAGCCGAACACCCTCGCAACAACCCCAAACCATTCAAACCAAGGACAGCTGGAGAGAAAGGACAGCAGGGAAGGCGCCCGCTTGCCCAGGGGTGTGATCCCTGGCACTTAAGGTTCCTCGGGCAGTGCCGGGGCGATGTGTGGGTGGGACCTTCCAGAACGCGCGCCTATCCACTGCGATGTGGGCGCCCTGTCCTACACTACCCTGGAGGCCTCTATCTAACCCAAGTCCTGAAGGCACAGGCGTCCGGCGTCAGGGCACCCCACACGGGGCCAGCAGACCTGGGGGTGCGCACTCGTGCCTGACGCTCCAGTGAAAGCCTAAGGCAAAATCCGGGATGAGGCTGGGGGGGGGGGGGGCAGAGCGGCGGGACAGCGGGGACGTGTCCGCCTCACACACAGCCAGCCCAGGCTCCATCCCAGCCCCGCCGGGGTGATCCCTGAGCACAGAGGCAGGAGTCACCCAGGAGGGAGCCCAAAGACCAAAGCAAGGGGGAACAACAAGTTCTGGGCTGACCCCGGCACCCTCTGCCCAGCTTTCCAGGGGTGCATCGACCCAAGGGGAGCCCACCCGGACTCCAGGAACCCAGGGTCTGGCGGGGGGCCCCAGACACATCTGAGAAGCCCCCTATGACTCCCGGGGCCCGAGGAGGGGCACCCACTCCCTTCCTCAGCCTCGACCTCCCTCTGGGGCTGCAGAGTCCTAAGACCAAAGCTAACCATCCTGCCGGGGGTGCTGAGAAGTGGGGGTGGGGGGTGGGGAGACCTGTTCTAGCACATTCCACAGCAGCACTGCAGCCGAGAGCATGCGCCCTGCCCAGGAGGGGAGAGGGAATCGCCCCCCGCCCAACAGGCCAGTCGGACCCTGGGCCGTCAAGGTGCATACCCAGCCCAGGCGCACTCTGCTCCTTCTATGCCGAGCACCGAGCCCAGGGCAGGCTGGTCCTGGCGGGCACTGACCACTGGCCCCCTGCAGCTGGGGGCGTGGGTGAACCCAGCCAACCCCCTACCTGAAGCTCAGGTCTCTTGAGGGGGGATCCTGGCAGCCACTCCAGCTGCACCAGAGCCCCCAGGTCCTGCCCACAGCTGGGAGTAAACACAGACACACACACACACACACACACACACACACACACAGCCCCCCAAGGGACACCTGGTCACATCCCTGGTCAGCACAACCTGGGGGCTTCCTGGCATTGAGTGGGGGGGGGGGCCACACCCCCGTGCCCAGCACCACTAACAGTCCGGACAGCGAGCCGTCTCAGACGCAGAGGGACAGGAGGGCCCCACAGCCCTGCTGTGGGGGAGGGGCCTTTATCACCTCCTGAAATTAGACTCCAGTGCGCGGGCTGCGGGCTGGGCTGGGCGGAGGAGGCCGTGGTGGCGCAGGGCTCCCCTGCTCCGGAGGCCCTAAGAGAAGTTGGAGGGAGACTCCAGCCCCAGGGACGCATCTGGGGACACGTGGGACGTTATGGCTCTCGGGGGTGGGGGCCAGGTGGGGGGGGGCGGCATGGGGCCGAAGGAAGGAAGGGAACGGTCTGGGCGAGGGGCCCCCAGGGTGGCAAAAGGGGGAGACGGGGACCAGGCAGGGCGAGACCCCGACCCCCAGGGCAGCTGGGCTCTGCGGGTGGCACAGCCCCACCTGGGACGCTGGCCCCCGTGTCCGCCCATGGAGCTGCCCGGGGCAGGCGGCAACAGCCTCCCGGCACCCGGTGAGTCCGGGTGAGGCCTCCCCCTCCCGATGGCCAGGCCCGGCCAGCTTCCTTGAAAGAAAAACAGGAGGTGGGGGACCCAGGCCAGGCCGTGTGGCGTGTGCGGGGGGTGGGGGCCTTTCTGGAACATTCTGCACATACATCAGCTCTCTAGCACTCTGCCTGCAGCCTGGCCTCGCCTCTGGTGGTCCACGGGGGAGCCCACCCCCGCCCACCTCCGGTCTCGGGCTCTCTACAGGCCTCGCGGGGGGGGGGGGGGAGGGCGAGCCGGGGCTGCTGGGAGGGTGACCTTGGGAAGTTGCGTCACTCTCCGTGGCTTGTGGCTTCCGGCTACGGGAGGCGGCAAGTGGCTGGCGGCCCCTCCCCAGGCCTCCCCGCGGGGGGGACTCCGCACTGCACCCCGGGAGGGGCGGAGCCCACAGCCGGGAAAGCGGGGTTCCCGCCTCCAGGGGGCCCGCCACTGGCAGAATCCCCCCCACCTCCACCCTAGGGGTGTCTGCATCCCCGGGATGACGACAGGAGGAAGTGGGTGGCTCCTGCGTGAACCCTGGGGGTGAAGCGGAGGGGAGGCCTGGTTCGGTGGAGGCCAAACGCCCCACGGAGGAGCCGCATTTCAGGGACCGGAGAAGGAGCACCACGGGCCGGCACAAGTTTCCCAGGGAGGGGGACCCGGCCTCCAGCAGGCCAGCCCACGTGGTTCCACTAGAGCCCGCAGGAATGACTCCTGAGCACCACCTGGCAGGACCCTCCCCGCAAAGAGAGGCTACAGGTGGGGGGCCCTACGGGACATGCAGCGCAAGGCAGGGCCTTGGAGGCTCGGTGTCCCCCTCAAATGGGGTAGGGGGCAAGCTGAAGTTACTGGGGTGGAGGGGAGGGCATCCCCCAAAATAGGAAGGAGGGGGCGCGGATGGGGACCACCCCTGCAAAGCCTGGGGGGCTCAAGTGGGGGAAGAACTGGGGGCCTCTCCGCTTTCCCCGAAACCTGAACCGCGCCCCAAAGCAGAGCCAGACACACCCACGTGCAGACACACTCAGGCAGGCACGCTTGCACGCTCAACGCCCTGGCGCAGACTCACACTCACACTCCCGCCGTCCAGGGCAAAGCCCCGCCCCCGGCCTGCTGGGCCTGCTGGGCCGGCGCTGGCCGTGGCGCCTGGCCCTGGCCCCTGGCGCAGGGGACCCGCCGCCCTCCCCCCACCCTGCTGCCGCCGCTGCTGGTCGGTGCTGGGGATCGGTTTGCCCTCCCGGGGCAGGGCAGGGCAGGGCAGGGCGGGCGCCGTCAGCGCCTTCAGACATCCGAGCCAGGCTCAGGCCGCGCAGGAAGCAGGCGAAAGGTCCCGGGCCGCTGCAGGCCTGAGAAATTAATCATCAGGTCTCATTTCGGGTAAGCGGCCCAGGACCCTCCCAGCCCCCAGAAGAAAAAAAAAGAAAGAAAAGAGAAAAAGGAAAAAAAAAAAAATCGAAAAAACCTGGGCAGGCTCCGTCAGCTGCCGCTGAGTTTCCCGCAGACGCCAGATGGCGGCAGTCCCCGGGCCCAGATGCCACAGCAAACAGGGGCACGCTGCGTCCAAGTGGATGTTTTGTTGTTTGTTTATTAAAAAAAATAATAAAAGGTCTCCGGCAGCTGTCCCCGAGAGCCACCCAAATCCTCAGGGCCGACTGTCCCCTCGCCAGCTGTCGGCCTGCCTTAACCCACCGAGTGGGGGGGAGTCAGGCAAACCCTCCGCCTGCCCGGCCAAAGCGTCCAGAACGTGGGCAGCAGCCGGGAGAAGGCCAGGGTGGCCATTTTAAGGGCCACAAAGGGGCTGCAGAGCGCAGGCGGGCGGGCGGCCAGGAGCGGGGACCCGCTGCCCTCTGCAAGAGCGCACAAGGTCCCGCTGGCCAGCTTGGGGCCGGCCGGGGTGGGGGGCGCCGGCCCTCCTGGCCTCCGCACAGCTGGAAGCCCGGGCCTTGCGAGCGGGCTCTCTGGACTCTGAATAAGCCGGATCCAGATTTCTAGAAAACAGATGCCTATGGGGGGGTGGGGGTGGGGGGCCCCCAAACGCCAGGTCTTGATTTCATCTCCGTGAAACTCATCATCCTGGCGTGACCACCCCCCAACTTTACTTTTTCTTAGAAAGGACTCTAGAAGGAGGGGATTGGCGGGGAGGGGGCTGGGGAGCTTGATTGAAAGCAATAAAACAGACCTGCCCTTCCAGGCCCTCTTCTCCCTCCTTGAACCCGTCTCTCTTTTTTCTTTTTTTGATTGCTTTATTTGCACTCTGGAGAAGCCCGTGTTCTCTCTCGAACACGTTTCCCCCGCTAGTGACCTCGTGCATATCTCTGAGCAAGTTTTATTCAAAAAAAAAAAAGAAAAAGAAAAAAGAAAACTCAAACGATGTTGCACCAAAAAAAAAAAAACTTTTTTTAAATGGATAAAGGAAGGAGTTTTGAAAAGTCCAAGTGCTAGCGATTAGGAATGTCAACGGCCCTGCCCCACGGTCACTCTGAGCGCTGGCCGGGTCTTTGTTCCTCCTGCTCTCTCCAGACCGGGGACGCGGGGTGGGGTGAGGGTGAGGGTGTGCTCCGGTGTCCCCCGGACATGGGGCCGAGAACAAAGGTGTTGCGAGCAGGCGGCCTTACCTGCTTCCCCCGGTAGAAGAGCCTCTGCAGGCCTGGCTCCACGTGGAACAGCACCTGGACCTTGTGTCTCAGCTGTTCGACTTTGGTCAGCTTGGACAGAGAGTCCACGGTGCGGGTCACCTTCCCGTCCATGGTACGCACGCGGATCCACATGGTTCCTGCTGATGCTGCGGAGAGAGACAGGGGACCCCCCCCAACACCCCCAGGGGGGTCAGCGGTGCTGGCCTCCCTGCCATGCCCACCCCCGAGGCCCTGCCAGGCACAGCTCGGGTCAGCTTGGCTTTTGTCCTGGCGGGGGACACCCACAGGGCGCAGCGAGGGGGGGCGGTCCCTCATCTGCCCGCCAGTGGGCTCTGGGCCTGGCGGGGCCCGGGCAGGGCTGTTCCAAGGCTGATGGGCAACGCCGGGCACCGGGTTCTGCAGGGAGGCCAGCTGGGGGCGGGGGGGCGGGGGAGGGGGGGGCGAAGGCTTGCTTTTTTTTTTGCATTTTCTTTTTTTTTTAAGTGACTCGCTCCGTCCCGTCTTGCACCCCCCGCCCCGCCCCGCGACTCACTTTTGGGGGGAAGCCGACAGCGACGTCCGTTGGAGGTAAGTGACAGAGCTCACGCATTCCTGCACCGTTCGTTCATTCATTCATTCATTCACTCATTCATTCGCTCGCTCGCTCGTTCATTCATACTCCCGGGGAGCCCGGAGGAAAACCGCCAAATCCGGCGTGGGCCACAACTTCCCGAGTCCCGCGGGGGGACTCCGCCAAGTGCGAGCCCGGCCGCGGAGAGGGCCCCGAGACCCGAAAGGGCCCCCACGCGACCCCCTGGGCGCCCCCCCCCACCCCGCGGGCCGCGCGCGTGCGCGACCCTGGCCACCGGCCGCCCCCGGGCCGACTCACCGCGGGCCTCCTGGGAGGCCGGCCCCCTCGCGCCGCCTGGACACCCCGGGAGCCCCGAGCCGGCGCCCCGCGCCCTCTTATACCCGCGCCAGCCCCTGCGGGCCACGCCGCGAGCCCACGCCCACCCCCGCCGCCGGGCCGGGCTCGGGGCGGGCCCGCGCGCCAGGCCCCGCCCCCCGCCGCGGGCCGCCGCGCCCATTGGCCGCGCCGCGCCCCTGGGCCCGCCCCGCTCGGCGCCCATTGGCCCGGGCGCGCCCCGGGAACCGAGGGCGCGCGAAAGCCGGCCGGGCGCCACAATTGAATCGCGGGGCGCCCCGCGCGCAGGCGCGGAGCCGGACACCCGCCCCCGCGCGCGCCCGGCCCTCCCCCACCGGCCCGCGGACCCCCGCGGGACTCGGGGTGCCGGGGGTCCCGGGGGGCGGGGGCCGGCTCCGCGGCTCCAGCGATCCGCGCGGACGCCCACCCACGCCTGGGCGCCAGGGGGTCCCCGGCGCGGACACGCGTGCGCCCGCCGTGCCCCGCACCCGGCCCGCAGCCCGAGTTCTGCTCCCGGGGAAGCGGCTGGCAGGGGGCTCCGGGCACCTCCGGATGCCAGGGTGCCCGCGCCCCCCGCCCCCCGCCCCCGATCGCCCCGGCTGCCCACCTTCCCAGCCCCCCGGTGCCCCCTGGCCCGGCGCGGCAAGTCCTCGGGCCGGCGTGGACGGGCGCGGGCGCTGCGTGCCCGAGCCCGGACCCCGCGCGCGGACCTACCTGCGTGCACCCCGGAGCGCCCCGACAGCCTGCCCCAGCGGCTCTGATTTTTTTCCCGCGAAAACTTGGGCGTTGGGGAGCCGCGGGGGCCGCGCCAGGGGCGGGCGCCTGCTCGGTGATTGGTCGCCGCGCTGGCGGGAAGCGGGACAGGGGGGGTCAGGGGTGCCCCCGCCTCTGTCCACCCCCCCGCACCCAGACCCAGCGGGCCCAGGCCCCGCCCAGCCCTACTCGCTCTGCTGGGCGCGCCTAGCCCGCGGTGGGGCCTACTGGCCAGACCTGGGCATCCCCCACCCCTGGTGTGCGCGCCCCCCCAGAAGTCTTGGCCCCCCACCCCCCACGCAGCCAGCCTCCCATCGGACTTCTTAAGTTCATCCCCACATAGACCCCTGCCCGGATGCCCGCTGACCAGCAGGTCTGGGAGAGCCAGAATGTCTTATCCGAACTGCAGGAGAGTATCAGGGCCCCCCCTGGGCACCACCAACCCGCCTGCACCCCGACAGCCGGCCTGACCTCCCCCCAGCCTCCACTTCCCAGCGCCAACTCTCCCCACCCTACTGAACCACGAGGCTTATGAGCTGGACTCCCCCGCCTTCTCTTCCCGCTTTGTCCAGACAGACGGGCAGAGCGCCCTGCCCCCTCCACCCTGCCGGCCACGCTGTGACCAGCGCTGGCGGGCACACCGTGACCCAGACCGGGCACTTCGGTTCAGGGCACTCGGGGCTGGGAGCAGTAGGGCAGAGGCACATCGTTGGTGCTCTCCTGGGGGACATGGTCACAGGTGAAGGGAAACGGCCCTCCATGGCGGAGAGACCCTTGCAGCGGCCTCTCCAGCCGCCCAGGCCTGCGGGGTGGAGCAGGGGCGAGCTGGGGGAGGGGGGAGGACGGCCAGTTGAGACTTAGGAGCAGGGGGAAGGTGGTCAGCGCGACCAGACCACCTGTGTTGCAGCAAAGGGAAGGTGAGGGCCCGGCCCTGAGGTCCCGAGGTGTGTCCTGTCACCCTGGTGGCCCAGCAGGATAGCGTGGATCTTTCCAGAAGCACAACTGCGCCTGGGAGGGCCCTCTCCACGGAAAAAAGCCGGGGGCTCTGGTTTCTGTTTTGACAACTTTTCTCTGGCACAGTGCAAAGAGCTCCTTGGGTCTTGACATTTTCTGCTTTTATTTCTGTAGGGGGACAGTCATGCGTGCACACACGCACACACACACACACAAGCACACAGTGTCCACGTTAAAGAGCCTGAAATCTGGACAAAGGTTCCCTTGCCTAGCACAGGGGCTTTGGAGTGAAGATCCTGAGGGAGACGGAGAGAGGGGACAGCAGAGAGGGCGGCTGCATTCAATCCCCCCGGTATCCTCTATGGCCCCCCGCAAGCACCATCAGGAGCAGCCGCTGGGCATCGCCAGGTGTGGCCCCCAGACAAAACAGAACGAACATTTTAAATAAAGATCTTAAGAAGCGGATCTTAGGGTCCCTGGACAACAGTGTTCTCTGTCGGGTGCCCCAAGTGAAAGAGGGAGGAACGGCCAACCGAGGGGCGCTTGAGACAAGATCAGCGGCAAAGTAGGCAGCTTCCGGAAGCAGAGAAAGGCCAGGGACAGATCCTTGGTGCTGGGTGGGAGCCCACTTCCGGTTAGTCCCAGGCTGGAACGGAGTTCGTGAAACTTGTGTGTCCTCTTTATTTCACAGCTGCCCCAGGAAATGGACAGACGCAGATACAAAGTCCAGAACCCCTGCGCAACCTCTTTTCCTGGGCTCTGGGGCGCCGGAGAGATGACGTCACATCTCTGGGGATTTTTCTGGAAGCTCTAACCCTTAGTCACCTGAAGCCCATGTCTCAGCTGGGAATAGGTAGGGAACGGCCTACCTGGGTTACTGAAGCATATGGGTGGCACCTGGGGCAGGAGAGCTAGGCCAGGAGGGACGGTATTTATCATGTGTTTATCTAAGGCAATCATGAGTTTGATCCCCAGCACCCCACAGGGTCCCCAAACCCCATCAGGAGAGATCTCTGAGCACAGAGGAAGCTGACCCTATGCACCGCTGGGTGTTCCCACCACTAACAACAAAAAAAAATGGTGTAGGGTGTTTACCTTGCACGTGGCTGACCCAGATTCAATCCCCAGCACGCAGCTGATCTGGGTTCGATCCCCAGCATCCCATCTGGTCCCCCAAGCCCACCAGGAGTGATTTCTGAGTGCAGAGCCAGGAGTAACCCCTGAGCACTGCCAGATGTAACCCCAAAACAAAGAAAATGGCCAGACTGCCATGACGAGTGCCCAGGATTCCAGACCTGCTGTTGGTCTTGCCCTCCTGGAGAACGCCCTTCCCGGAACCCCCAGGCGTTGATGTCACAGTCGAGTGACTTGCGGTGTCCCAGGGAACTCGGACTCTTGATGGGGGGGAGCGGGGGGCGGGGAGGATGTTTCTCTACCACCCCAGCCCCCCATGTCTGTGGTGAAGTCCATCGAATTGAGGCTACCCCAAAATGCGGTCTACCTGGCCGGCTCCTGCATCAAAGGCCAGGTGGTCCTGACACTCAACAGCACCTTGGTGGACCCGGTGGTGCGGGTGGAGCTGGTGGGCAGAGGGTACGTGGAGTGGAACGAAGAAACCGGGGAGTCCCTCGATTACAGCAGAGACGTGATCTGTAACAACAAGGCCGACTACGTGCACAAGACCAAGACGTTCCCCGTGGAAGGTATGGAAGAGCCCCCGAGGGGCCGGAGCCATAGCACAGCGGGGAGGGCGTTTTTGCCTTGCGTGTGGACAACCTGGGTTTGATCCCCGGCATCCCGCATGGTCCTCCCAGCACCACCAGGAGTAATTCCTCAGTGCATGAGCCAGGGGTAACCCCTGAGCACCGCCAGGTGTGACCCAAAAAAGCAAACACAAGAAAAAATTTAAAAAAAAGAAGCCCCCCAGTCAGACCCTCGCTGTCTTAGGAACCAGGGTTGGCCGCCCACAGATTCCCTCCTGAAACCCCCCTCGCTCCTCCTCCAAGGAGCTCAGACACAGACAAAGAGGCCTGGAAAGGGGCTGGAGGGACAGGACAGCGCGTAGAGCCTTTGCCTTATACGCAGCTGAGTTCAATCCCTGGCATCCCATATGGTACCCCAAGAACCGCCAGGAGTAAACCCTGGGCCTCACTGGGTGTGACCTAAAAAGCAAAAGAAAAAATAAGAGGGGGGCTGGAGCGATAGCACTGCGGGGAGGGCGTTTGCCTTGCACGTGGTCAGCCCAGGTTCGATTCCCAGCATCCCATAGGGTGCCCTGACCATGACAGGAGTGATTCCTGAGTGCAGAGCCAGGAGTAACCCCTGCGCATCGCTGGGTGTGACCCCTCCCCCCCAAAAAAATAGAGGTCTGGAATGTCCTGGGAAAGCGGAACCAAACCATGACCATCACAGACACAAATATACCAAAACAGGCCAGAGAGGGGACAGGAGCGACAGGATAGGGGCCTTGATGCCTGTCTTGCAGGCGGCTCCCCTGGTTTTGATTCCTGGCATCCCATAGGGTGCCCTGACCATGCCAGGAGTGATTCCTGAGTGCAGAACCGGGAGTAACCCCTGCGCATAACCGGATGTGACCCCAAACAAACAAAAAAGATGAACCAGAACTATAGGACAGCAGGGAGGGCTTGCTTCGCAGAAGGCTGACCTGCGTCAGCTTCCCACAGCATCCCATGGGGTCTCTCAGGCACTGCCAGGGGGTGATTCCCGAGCGCAGGAGTTAACCCAGAGTATCCCTGGGTGTGGCCCAAAAACAAAAAAAAAAAAGAAAAGAAAAAAGAAGAAAAATAACAAGACATGCACCACTGCCCAAATATTGGGAAGGTCTGAGGGTGTGGTTTCGTGACAAATACTTCTCTGAGTCCAGACCCTACCTCGGGGATGCTGGGGAAGAAATGCTTCTTGTTGAATCACTCCAGGGCCTTCTGTGACTCCGTGACAAAAGCTGGGGGATATGGGGCAGAGGAACCCACAGTTCCTGGGAGGAATCTATGGAAGAAGTCTACAGCCGGGGCTGGAGCGATAGCACAGCGGGGAGGGCGTTTGCCTTGCACACGGCCAACCCGGGTTCGATTCCCAGCATCCCATAGGGTCTCCTGAGCACCGCCAGGAGTGATTCCTGAATGTATGAACCTGTAACTCCTGTGCATTGCTGGGTGTGACCCAAAAAAGCCAAAAAAAAAAAGAAAAGAGAACAAGTCTACAGCCCCAGTTATCCCAGTTACTTGAAGGTTTTTGTTTTGTTTTGTTTTTTGCTTTTTTTGGGTCATACCCGGCGATGGGTTATTCCTGGCTCTGCACTCAGGAATGACTCCTGGCGGTGCTCAAGGGACCATAGGGGATGCTGGGAATCGAACCCGGGTCAGCCACGTGCAAAGCAAATGTCCAACCCGCTGTGCTATTGCTCCAGCCCCCCAAGTTATTTGAAGTTCAAGAGGTGGGAGACGGAGCTGTTGGGGCTCTGGACTTCCCCCAGAAAGCTCTCATGCAGATGTGCCTGGTCAGCTCCCCATGAAGGGGGCCCAAGGAGAGTTCATTATAGACCCGGAGAGAGAGTCCAGCAGGGAAGGCAAGAGCCTGGCATGTGGTCAATCAGGGTTCAATCCTCAGCATGGCATAAGCTTCCCTGAGCACAGAGCCAGGAGTCAGGCCAAGCACCGCCAGGTATGGTCCCCCCTAAACCAAACAAAATCAAAATCCACCGTGGTTTCATTTTACTCATTGAAAGATGAAGTGGGAGCCAGAGAAATAGTACAGGAGTGAACTGCCATGCATGGGGATGGAGCCCCGTTTGACCTGACTTCTTGTGCCATCCCCTGAGCACTGCCAGGACTACCCCAGATCCCAGAGCCAGAAGCAGGGGCTAGAGCCATGGTACAGCACGGCAGGCGTTTGCCTTGCACATGGCGGACGTGGGTTCGATCTCCGGCACACCATAGGGTCCCCCAAGCACCGCAGGAGTAATTCCTGAGTGCAGAGCCAGGAGTGAGCCCTGAGCATCTCCAGGTATGACTCAACAAGGAATAAAAACGCCTTCCCCAGTGCACTACCACTCTGGCCCGCATCTCACTCATTTTACAGGCCATCTTTCAAATCCCTACTCCACCCTCGCTGACCCACCCAGGAGAAAATCCTTGCTGCAGGGAACTTCCAGGTTTCCTCACAGAGAGAATCAAGGGCTTAGATTAAACCCATAGGTATCCAGCTGGTGCTTAATAAATGTTAACGCTTTCTACCCAAGCCCTCCCTAGCAGTCGACCCCTCCCAGACCCCCTGCCCGGCATCTCCCCTCCAAGGCATCCACCAGATGCGCAGCCCTATCTAGCAAGGAAAGACTCCAGCTGAAGCGGGTTTGGGAGAAAAGCAGGGAAATGCAAGCTGTCGGGAACAGAGAGGGTGAGGGTCCCCGTAAGAATCAGCGGATACTCAGCACCGTCCATGGCGGGGATGACGCTTGCCTTGTACACAGCCAACCTGGGCTTGATCTCCAGTATACCCGGCTGGCTCCCCAAAGCTCTGGAAATGACCCCTGAGTGCAGAGCCAGGAGTCAGCCCTGAGCATCGCCACTGTGACCCAACGACAAACGGATTTTATTGTTGTGTGTCTTTTTTTTCTTTTTGGGTCACACCCGGCGATGCGCAGGGGTTCCTCCTGGCTCTGCACTCAGGAATGACTCCTGGCGGTGCTCGGGGGACCCTATGGGATGCTGGGAATCGAACCCAGGTTGGCCGCGTGCAAGGCAAACGCCCTCCCCGCTGTGCTCTAGTACCCAAACAAATGATTTTAAAAAACAAAAATGAAACAGATATTAAGCACCTAGTGCCTGGGCCTGACGCGTGGCCTAAACTTTTCAACAACATGCACGTGGCCGGCCGGGGAGATCTCCAGAGACTGCAGTGCGTGCCAGCCCTCTCAGGACCCTGGGGTTGACCCCAGAGCTTTGTAGCACCCCCAAACACTATTAGGTATAACTCGAGTGCCCCCCACCTCCCGCCAGCTCTGCTCCTCCAGAAAATAAACCCCAGAAAAAATGTTTTCAGCTATCCTTTCTTTTTTAAGGTGGGGTGGGAGTCACACCCAGCTGTGTTCAAGGCTTAGCCCTGGCTCTGCACTCAGATCATTCCGGGTGGGCTTGGGGTACCCTATGGGGTGCCGAGGATCGAACCCGGGTCAGCCATGTGCAAGGCAAACCCCCTCCCCGTTATCCTGTGGCCCCAGCCCTCATCTTCGCCTGTTCTTGCTAGAAATGAGAGTGTGACAGTGCCAACTGACACCTCCAACTCCTGGGCCAAGTGCAGGACTGAACTAGTGGGCAGAGAGAGGTTAGTGTCCCCCCCTGAGACCAGGGCAGAATATTGATGGGTCACATAGCTCCCCCAAAAACCCAGGGGTCAGATCCGGAACAATGTCCCTGCAGAAACAGTCCAACCATTGGGGGTAGAAAACAAGGAGAGGTGGGGTAAGTTCTAGAACTTTTTTTTTGTTTTGCTTTTCGGGTCACACCTGGCGAGGATTACTCCTGGCTCTGCACTCAGGAATCACTCCTGGTGGTACTCGGGGGACCATATGAGATGCCAGGGATGGAACCCAGGTCGGTCTCGTGCAAGGCAAATGCCCTACCTGCTGTGCTATCGCTCCGGCCCCCCCCCTTTTTTTTTTCCGGCACACCTGGCAGTGCTCAGGGTTTTATTCCCAGTGCTGTGCTCAGAAGTCACTCAAGCAGTGTTTGGGCAACCCTAAGGGATGACAGGGAGTCACACGCCAGGCAAGCGCCCTCCCCACTGTCGTGCGGCTGGCTGGCCTTCTCCGCCTCTCTGATGGCCGTTGGTGTGCTTTGCTTTCAGGTAACTGGTTAAGCGCGGGCAGCCACACCTTTGAATTTCGGTTCAACTTACCTCCCAGGCTCCCGTCGACGTTCACCAGCAAATTCGGTCACGTCTTCTACTTCATCCAGGCCATCTGCTTGGGCCGGGAGTGTATTCTCGGCAAGAAGAGATTGTACTTAATGGTTCAAGGGACTTCGGACTTCCACAGAAAAAGTTCAGGGCAGGTAGCAGCGGGGTGACGGGCTGGGTAGGTGGGCAGTGGAGGGGTGTCCTCAAATGCCCCCTTCGCGGGAAGTGGACGAGCTGGGCATGCAAACACTCGCCCTCCACTGGGGTCTAGAGAGAACGGTACAGAGTAAGCTGGGGCAGTTCCTTTGCCTTGCACATGACCAACCCTATCTCTGATCCAACCCCCTCCCGCTAAGCCCCGAGCACAGCCAGGAGTGGCCCCCAAACCCAACCCACCCCGCCAAACCAATGCAACCATTGCTTTACACATTTTCCGGGAGGGTGGGGACTGGTTTGGGCCACACTAGAAAGTGCTTGCAGGTCAAACCTCAGCTGCCTGCGAGGCAACTGACCTTAACCCCTGTTATCTCTCCCTCAGGCCAGGGTTTTTAATGCTGGTCAATTTCTAGAGCCTGCAAACTTCCGTCCTAGTCAATTTCACGTACCTCCGTGGAAGTCTCTAAGTGGGGCTATTGAAACAATTGTTACCCTGTTCTTCCTCCTCCCCAAGCACAGGGGAAGTCCCCTAGAGGAGAAAGTCACCCTCAACCCACACCCCCCCCACCCATCAAATCTTTTATTTAAAAGTGATCCCTAGGGTCAGGGCAATAGTACAGATGGGAAGGCGCTGGCCTTGGGTTCGATCCCTATTCCCGGGCACCCCATAGCATCCCCGACCCCTGCCAGGAGGGATTCCAGGGTGGAGAGCCACGAAGAACCCTGGCCCATTCCCAGAGTGGCCCCAAAACAAAACAAAAGATGCCAATAGGGCATTTGCCTGGCATATGTGGCCAACCTGGTTCCGTCCCCAGCACCCCATAGGGTCCCCCAAGTACCGCCAGGAGTGATCCCTGAGCACAGTGGCAGACATTAAGCCCTGAGCACAGTCAGGTGTGTCCAAAAATAAATAATTAACTTCTAAAACAGGTGGTCCAGGGGCTGGAGAGAGAGCACAGCGGGGAGGGCGTTTGCCTTGCACACGGCCGACCCGGGTTCGATTCCCAGCATCCCATATGGTCCCCTGAGCACCACCAGGAGTAACTCCTGAGTGCAGAGCCAGGAGGAACCCCTGTGCATCGCCGGGTGTGACCCAAAAAGCAAAAAATAATAATCAAATAAAATAAAACAGGTGGTCCAGTGACCAGAGAGCCATAAGACAGCGGGAAGGGCACTTGCCTTGCATGCAGCTAAACCAGCTTTGATCCCATTTCATCCCCGAGCCCTGCCAGGAGTGATCCCTGAGCGTCACCAGGTGTGACCCCAAAATCAACACCCAAAACCTGGTCCTGTGGTCCAGAACGATAGTACAGCGAGTAGAGCAGCGAGTAGAGCGTTTGCCTTGCAGGCAACCAACCTGGGTTCAATTCCATAGGATCCCCCGAGCATTGCCAGGAGTCATTCCTGAGTGCAGAGTCAGGAGTAACCCCTGACCATCACTGGCTGTGACCCAATAAGCAAAAAAAAAAAAAAAAAGGGGGGGTATTGGTGGGCAGGGGGCCTGACTCATGACCCCTCATGGTGGTCCATCCACCCTGGCCCGTGCAGTCGCCCCTCTTGGTGGAAACGGAGAAGCGAGTGTCTTACCACTGCTGTGGCCAAGGTACCATCTGCCTGCGCGTGGAGATGGAGAGGAACACCTTCAGCCCCGGCGACCGGGTGGTCTTCACCACTGAGATCAGCAACCAGACCAGCAAGTGCATCCGCTCCGTGGCGTGGGCCCTGCATGCGCATGTCCAGTACCAAGGCTTCACCCCCAACACGGAGCGGCGGGCGCGCGCCGACAGCAGCCAGCTGGCCCGGCAGGAGACCAGCACCCACATCGGGCCCTTCACCACCAGCAAGATCGTCAGCGCCTTCCAGCTGCCGCAGGTGCTGTCCCTGACCAGCGTGCAGCCGGACACGGAGCTCATGAGCTCCCGCTACGAGCTGGTCAGTACTGTCCACTTGCCCTGGTCCCTCAGCAGCGTGAAGGCCAGGGTGCCGGTCATCATCACGCGCACCCCCCTGGGCTCTGACTGCTGCGCCCCGCGGCGGGAATGCAGGCCCAGGGCGGCCGCTTCCATCGAGGCCGAAGCTTCCGAAATCAGTGTCTGAACTTCTGGGAGAGTAAAAGGTTTATGAGACCCTGTTCCCGCGGGCGCTGCTGTTTCTGCTTCGTTTGCGTTGGGTTGGGGGCCACCCCGCCCGGAATGATCAAGACTCCTCCCGACTCTGCCCTCCTGGTGATGCTCAGGAGACCATATGGGGTTGCGGGGGATTGAACCCGAGTGGGCTGTAGTGCGAGGCGTGCGCCCTGCCTGCTTGTACTGTGGCTCTGACTCCTGGATTCTTCTTTTCTTTTCTTTTTTGGGTCACACCCGGCAATGCTCAGGGGTTCCTCCTGGCTCTGCATTCAGGAATGACTCCTGGCGGTGATCGGGGGACCCTATGGGATGCTGGGAACCGAACCCAGGTTGGCTGTGTGCAAGGCAAACGCCCTTTTTGCTGTGCTATCACTCCAGACCCTAGCAGCTGGATTCTTCGTTTTTTGTTTTTTTTTTTTTATTTTTTATTGAAGATGGATGGTTGATGGATGATAGATGATGGATGGATGGGTGGATGGATGGATGGATGGATATACATGTTCTGGTCCACCCACACAGCACAAGGCTAATCCTGCCTTCATAAGAAAGGACATAGGGCCACAACAATTGTTCAGATAAGTGAGCACATGTCATATGGCTGACCCCAGTTTGGTCCCCAGCACTGCAAGATCCCTCAAGCACAGAGTCAGGTCTAGTCCCCAAGCACTGCCAGTTATGGCCAAACCCCACCCCCGAAAAGGACATTTTTTTCTGGAGGTGTCTTCCAAGCAGTCCTCAGGAAGCCTGGGGGCCTATCCTGATGAGTGAATGTGTGTGTGTGTGTGTGTGTGTGTGTGTGTGTGTGTGTGTGGTGTGGTGTGCAGGGCTTTCTCCTGACTGTGTTTCGGGATCACTTCTGGTGGGGCTCAGGAGACCATACCTGGTGCCCAGGATTGAATCTGGGAAGTCTGCATCCATGCCCCTCTATACTATCACTCTGGCCCCCATTCTGGTGGACTTTTATTGTTAGGGGGTATACTCTCCTGTGCTCAGGGCTTTCTTCTGGCTCTGCTCCCAGGGATGACTCCCAACCGGCTCTGGGGACCCTCTCTGGGATGCTGGGGGCCGAACCTGGATTGGCAGCTTGCAAGGCAAACGCCCTCCCTGCTGTCCCATTGCTCCAGCCCCTGTGCTGGTGATTTTTGGCTAAGAGGATGGGGATTTCACCCTAGAGTGCTTGGGGACCTCCAGGGCCGCACCCTGGATGCTCAAGAAAACCCATGGGTGTTAAGAGTAAACTCTGGGCTGGAGCAATAGCACAGTGGGTAGGGCGTTTGCCTGGCACATGGCCAATCCGGGTTCAATTCCCAGAATCCCATTGGGTCCCCCGAGCACCGCCAGGAGTGATTCCTGAGTGCAGAGCCAGGAGGAACCCCTGAGCATCGCCGGGTGTGACCCCAAAAAACGTGAACTCTGGCTGCTTGTAAGACAGCACTTAACCCCTCTGACTTCTAGACACTCTCTCCAAGGGAGAAAGGACATTTGGCAGCTGCACTGCTGGGGTCTTAAGGGGAGGGAGAGTGTCTGGGTGAGATGCATCCTTAGTCAGTAGCACGGGAGCAGGTGACCAAACCCACCAGAGTCAGCCTTGACCAGAAAGTCACCAGGGCCTGGAATGCTTTGGGTCTCGGCTGCCTCCTCCCTCGCTCGGCTGTCTCACCCCACGGGTGGGTTGCAGATGGGTGACTATCCGCCCACACACGTTCCCCTGTATCTGCAGCCTCCCCGCCATTGCTTCTCAGAAACGGGGCTTCCGTGCGAACCGCTCCCGTCTCACCACCTCCTCCACCTCCTCCTCCATCTCCCTCGTTCCTGCAGGAAAGGCAATTCCGCTTTTCCCTGAAGTCCTCTGCTCTTCCTTTCCCGGATGGACGACACTCCCTTCTCCCTTTGTTTCCTTCATTTTAGGTTTGGGATCGACACCCAGAGGGGGCTGGGCTGGAACTAGAGAGAGAGTTAAGGCATTTGCCTTGCATGTGAGTTCCATCCCCAACAGCAGGTAGGCAAACGCCCTACCTGCTGTGCTATCACTCTGGCCCACCTCCGTATCAGATTTTGAATCGAGGCTGTCAGCTTGTGTCCAAGCCATGACACCCAGAGGGTCCCCCGGATACCGCCGGGAGTGATTCCTTAGTGCAGCGCCAGGAGTCGGCTCTGAGCATCACTGGGTGGGCAGCCAAAATACTAAAAGTGCTCAGGGTTGTTCTCAAAGCTGACTCCCAGCTCTGCACTTAGGGATCCCTCTCGGGCAGGGCTCAGAGAGTTGTATGTGGTGCCTGTCATCAAACGCTGGTCAGCTGTGGGCAGACAAGCAGTCTAACCACTGTACTCTCTCTCCAGCCATACCCAGCAGTGCTTGGGGCCACAGCCAGCTCTGGGCTCAGAGCGAGGGAGGCACATGCATGCAGAGGGTGGGGGTGGTCAGCTGGGCTGGCTTAGCTCGCTCCGTCCCTCCCTCTCCTTTCTCCTCTCACCTCCATATCAGATGTTTTTTTCTTTTTGGGTCACACCCAGCAATGCTCAGGGGTCACTCCTGGCTCTGCATTCAGGAATTACCCCTGGCGGTGCTTGGGGGACCATATGGGATGCCAGGGATTGAACTCAGATCGGCAAGGCAAACGCCCTACCTGCTGTGCTATCACTCTGGCCCACCTCCATATCAGATTTTGAATCGAGGCTGTCAGCTTGGGTCCAAGCCATGACACCCATGCTTCCTCACCCAGGAAGTCGTCCAGGTCTGCCTGTCAAAGCCTCCCTTTTCTCTTGTGACAGGCCTGCAGCATGGATGACGCTTAAGGTTCTTTTCCATGAATACGTGGGTCCCACCTGCCTGTTAAACATTTTGGATCAGATTAAGGGCACGGGACTTGACCCTAAGGCTTATGGAAGCACTTTTGGCGTCTTGGAGCCATATCTAGTCATGCTCAGAGGCTGTTCCTGGCCCTGTGCTCTGGACAGTACCTTGGCAGTACTCGGAGACCCAGATGTGGTACCAGGGATCAGAACTGCACACTCAAGCGTCTTTGAACCATCTCCCCCAGCCCTCAGGATTAGCACTGCACTGTCCTCCCGTTATTTATCGATTTGCTCGAGCAGGCCCAGTAATGTCTCCATTGTGACAATTGTTACTGTGTTTGGCATATCGGACATGATACGCCACGGGTAGCTTGCCAGGTTTGCCGTGTGGGCAAGATACTCTCGGTAGCTTGCCGGGCTCTCTGAGAGGAGTGGAGGAATCGAACTTCGGTCGGCCCTTTGGCCACTTGCAAGGAAAACGCCCAACCCGCTGTGCTATCCCTCCTTTTTTTTCTTTTTGGATCACACCCAGCGATGTTCAAGGGTGACTCCTGGCACATGCACTCAGGAATCTCCTCATGGTGCTTGGGGGGCCATATGGGATGCTGGGGATCGAACCCAGGTCAGCCGTGTGCAAGGCAAACGCCCTACCCACTGTGCTATCGCTCCAGCCCCTCAGTATTATTTTTTGTTGGTTGATCTTTGTTTTGGACTGGAGCGATAGCACAGTGGCTCACAATCTGTTGTGAGATGTTACTGGTGCCCGCTCGAGCAAATCGATGAACAACGGGAGGACAGTGCAGTGCAGATCTTTGTTTGGGGGTCACATGCAGCGGTGCTCAAGGCTGACTCCTGATGGACTTGGAGGACCATATGGGATGCTGAGGATTGAACCTGGGTTGGCCGCATGCAAGTCAAGCACCCTCCCTGCTGTACTATCGCTCGGGCCCAGTACTCATATCATTATAATTTATCAAGACTTGGCTTTACATTCGAGTTTCCTGCATCAGTCCTGGGCATTGTGGTGAGAGGTCTGAGTAGCTTCTGTGGCCCCATTCACTTGATGTCCCCACATCATTGAAGACTCTGGTGATCCCCTAAAATATCACAGTGTCCTCTGGGGGCAGGATCACAGGGTGGGAGCTTCTGTCCTGGTTATAACGTGGGAGGTAGATTGAATTAGGGGCCAGAAAGATAGTACAGTGGGTAGGGCGTTTGCCTTGGCACGCGACTGACCCAGGTTCAATCTTCAGCATCCCATAGGGTCCCCTGAGCACCACCAGAAGTGATCCCGGAGTGCAGAGCCAGGAGTAACCCCTGAGCATCACTGGGTGTGGCCCAAACCCATGCCTGCCCCCAAAGCTATCTAGGATTGGGGGGTTATGTGGTAGTACAGCAGGCAGGCTGCTTACCGGGGCTCAGTCCCTGGCACCTCCTGTGGTTTCTGTAGCCCCGCCAAGAGTGATCCCTGAATACAGAACCAGGAGGGATTCCTGAGCACCCCCGGATGTGGCCCTCAAATGTGGAAAAAAAAAAGAAAAGGAAAAGATTTCTTGAAGGGAGTGTTCATGGATTCCCAGCCTAAGAGTTATTTCCGGGGCTGGAGCGATAGCACAGCGGGGAGGGCGTTTGCCTTGCACGCGGCCAACCCCGGGTTCGATTCCCAGCATCCCATAGGGTCCCCCGAGCACCACCAGGAGTAATTCCTGAGTGAAGAGCAGGGAGGAACCCCTGTGCGTCGCCAGGTGTGACCCAAAAAGCAATAAAAGAAAAAAATAAAGTAACTTCCGCCTCGAGCCTCAGTTTCCCTGTCTGTAAAATGTGAGCTTTCTCAAAGAAACCCTCTTTAACCAGCATGTTCTCCGGCCATATGGGGTCTTCTAGAAGATTCTGGCAGAGGGGCACCACCAGTCCCAGCCCCCTCCCAACACCAGCTGCCTCCCCACCCCTGCCTCCCCACCGCCCGACTGGGGTGCCCACACAGGCGGGCGTTGGGCAGGCTTCCTGTGTGGTGGCTGCTGGTGCCCACGGGGCCAGGTGGGCCAACGGGAGCAACGCAGCTGGAGCCATCCCACTTCCTGCGCCCTGCGGGAGGCGCCTCACCCCCAGTGTAACACACCCAGGACCCAGGCCGCCCCCTCGCCTCCCCTGCCAGCTGTTTCCAGCTTCCACCCC